CATATTGTTCATATTATAGAATCTAAGTGCATCATGTTTGATGACATTTCTAAAATGCAAATTCATGCCAACGTTCTCGGATTGTATAACCCAAGATATACTAGTAACCCAAGGAAAACACATACAATCGATCATACAACTAGACAAATGTGTATTAACATGCTCCAAAATAGGTGATACATGTTGATTGTCAGAAATAATTTCAGGTTTGAGAATTTTGTGGTGAAAATTTTAAAAAGGCCAACGTGAGAAGAATTGGAAAGAATTCACATTTTAAAGAAGATTTTTGAATTCTAAAATAAAAAAGATTCAAAATCCCGTTCCAAATTCTGGAATATAATAGATATTTTTAGAATGTCTACTCACATGATGAAAAATAAATCAATTCTGAAGATAACTTTAATAATAAAATTAGTCTAATCAAATTATCCTTTAATGCTTATATATTTTCTTATATTATGTGAATATAAAAAAAAAAAAAGTACACTAAGAAGCTTCACTCTTAAGTGTGGAAATACGTTTGCTAAAAACAATCTTAGTATAGCATGACATAGCTTTATAACTTAGCTTATATTAAGTGTAGATTAAACCACCACCTTTAAATAGATAATATGTGTAGTAACAAAAAAAAAAAAAAAAATATATATATATATATATATATATATATATATATATATATATATATATATATATATATATATATATATATATATATATATATATATATATATATATATATATATATATATATATATATATATATATATATATATATATATATATATATATATATATATATATATATATATATATATATATATATATATAAATAAATAAATAATAATAATAATAATAGTAGTGGGACTTTTTAAAAAACTCCCTCAACTAAAAAGGTCATGCTTTAAATCCTTTAAATCTTTCAAAAAGGTCTCTCAAACAAGCGATCTTTTATATATGAATAAATGGTATGTTAAAATAACTTTAAATAATATAATATAAAAATTTTACACTCTCAATTTATCACCATCAATTTATATTATTTTGTAAATAATTAAAATAAAAAATTCAAACTTCTTCTAACATAATTAATTGACTGTGTATGACATTGCATTCTAATTAAACTCCAATATTAATATTAAAATTAAATTCAAGTTTAGGTAGTTACATTGATATCCGTTAGGAATTCAGTTATATTTTTCATGCATATAATGACGGAAATACCCTCGCCAAAGTATTCATTCATTTCCTCTTCATATAAAAGAACAAGAGTTTCCCATAACTACCGCACTTTTCCATTTCATTTTCTTTTGATTTTGCTCTCTTTCTTCACTTTCTTCTACTTGGCTCCGTTTTCTTGCTAAAGCTCAGAGATGAAGAACATATTTGGTTGTTTTTCCCCAAAGGGTTCCCCAAAGGGTTCTCCAAAACGCACCACTCCTGATCCCACTCCCGGTCCCGGTTCCGCTTCAGCCTCTACTTCCACAAGTAAATTTCTTTCCGTTACGTATACCTCTGATCATGCTCATGCATGCATGCGTACAATTGAAGTGCATTCTTTTATCACAATCCCCCAAAAATCATATTTTTCTGTAACACATTCTTTTCATAATGCTGCCTTTTCTACTATGATTTGATTTTTCTTTTTTTCATATCAAGTTTCTTGTGACGGGTTTGTTTAAAAGATCATGTTTTTGGAAGTAGGTTATCGTTTTTTTTATCATCAAACTTCAAGATTTGAATGCTTGAGTTACTATATCGTAACCTTTTCTTTCTTCTTGAAACTGTGTTAAATTTCCCATTCAGTTTCTTTTTTTTTTCTTCTCAGTTTTTCATTTGGCGCCTTTTTTTACTCTAAATTTTTGTTTTTGCGTGTGTTTTACAGATAGGGGAACGAGCGAGATAGAAGATGATTCTGCTACTGCTTCTCCGGCTACTCTTGCAAGAATCAATAAACTTACTGAGGAAATGGAGACTTTAAGTTTAAATTTAGGACCTGTGCCTATACAGAAATTCACTTTCAATCAACTTCAATTAGCAACAGAGAACTTTAGCCCTGACAAGTGTGTGGGTCATGGAGGTTTCGGGCGTGTTTACAGAGGGAACTTGGCTCCCCAGAATCAACAAGTTGCTATAAAGCGTCTTGACCCGAAAAGCGATCAAGGATCCCAGGAATTTGCTGCTGAAGTGGAGTTACTGAGTAACGCAAAGCACGAAAACATTATCCGATTGATCGGATATTGTGCTGAGAATGAGCACAGGATGTTAGTTTATGAGTACATTAAAATGGGATCTTTGGAAGATCATTTACTATATGATCCTAATGATGATACTCATCTTGGAGTTCTGGACTGGAATACAAGAGTTAGAATAGCATATGAAATAGCAAAGGGTTTGCAGTATCTTCATGAAATGGAGCCTCATAAGATGATATATAGGGATCTAAAATGCGCAAACATTTTGTTAGAGGAAGGTTTTACTGTAAAGTTATCTGATTTTGGATGTGCTAAAAGAGCCCCAACTGATGAAAACCAAATAGATGCCAGAAGGGTAGGCACACAGGGATATTTAGATCCAACGTATTTTACATCAGGTAAAAGTACATTCGAAACAGATATTTACACCTTTGGTGTTGTTCTTATGGAGCTCGTCACTGGTAGAAAAAGTCTTAATATAAAAAAAGAACTACCCGAGGAGCGAAGTCTCGTTTTATGGGTAAGTCATTATAACCGTACCAGACATTAGATTGCCTGATACGAACTGGTTGATCAAAATTCTTTTTCTTTTTTTTTACAGGCGAAAAGAGTATTCAGCGATATGACCACATTCGCAGCAATTGTTGATCCATTGCTAGAGGGTAAATTTGATGAGTTCACTTTAGATGGACTTGTTAATATGGCTCGACATTGTCTTCAAGGTGACCTTAATAGCAGGCCCAAAATGCATCATATTGTCGATGTTCTGAGGCAATTGAACCAGAAAGTCCTAGATTCAGAAAGCTAGGCCGGAGTCATACATTTCCTCCAGCTTCTACTGCTCGAACTAGAGTTATAACTTGAAGTTACATTTTTTTTGGTTTGTTCATATATGACCAAGTTATTAGCTTTTGTTTTCTTAGGAGATAAAATGTGCTTTTAGATTGTGATTACTCATTGGCCAGAATTCAGACCAGAAACTATGTGATAAATCATTTCTTTACTTCATAGTAATTTTCTTTAGTTTGTTACGCACTATTCTTAAGTCTTGTAATGAATGTTTGGAATAAATGTTTTGTATGAGTATTCAATTTTATTAATTTTATTATGAGTATTGAAATTACAACCTACAACCAAATTTTTATGCAGAAAAAAAATGCAACTTTTTATGAAAATAATTTACTAAAGACTGATTTATTTTCATATTAATGTGCCATAATACATGCAAGTTAAATCAATCAATAAAATAATATATTCTACTAACATTTTTTCTCCAACAAATTGAGTACTTATATTTACCTATACAAATATAAAAGTTATTTTAAATACAACTGTTTTAAAGTAAAATTAATTTTACAAAACTAGTAAAAAATAATTTAACAAAACTATTAAGAAATAATTTTGCAAAACTAATAAATTCCAAATTAATTTTCTCATAAACGAAATCAAAGATTCTTGTGGAAGAGTGAAGTATGACATACATAAAGCACGTGCGTGGCATGAGCAACCGCTTAACTTTCCCGCCAAAAATCTGTTACGAGCCTAACCAACTAAACGAAAACACAAATCGCGAGCTTCCACCTCCGAACGAATTTTCCGTTGAATGGCACCGTAACTTTTTCTTCTTCAATCGCTCTCTGTTCTTCGAAATGCAGCAAAGATCTTCAACTTCAAACTCGCGATGTTCCACCGACGATCACAGAACCATCAACATCGGCGCAGAACAGCAACAAAGCACAAAACGGAGAAGGAGCGCCGACGATGATTCACTCGACTTACTTCCGGTTTATCACACACGCACTGTTGTCGCCGGAAGGAGAGACGTTTCTCGGTCTCGAATGCCGCTGGCGGATAAGATGATTCACGTTATTCCCTTGCTTGTACTGCTATGTCTCTTCACTCTCTGGTGGTTCTCTTTTCCAGGTACCGAGTTTTCATGCGCCTTCGGTAATCTCATATTTCACGCACTTTTTCTTTTGTTATTATCGTAATTTCGTTCTTTATGCTTTCTATTTAGCGAATTTCTTGAGTTCAAAATTTTGGATTAGTGATATCAATTTCAGATTTGTGATTATAAAAATAGAAAAGGAAAATTGAAGTATAGTAATCAACGATTAAGTAAAAATGTGTAACTAAATATTAGTAATGTCACCGAGCGTTCTTAGGATTTGAATATAGTTTGGTTCAATTTTGTTGATAAAATGATCTTTTGATATTTTGTAAATAGTAGATCTGGAGTTCAAGGATGGTAGGATTACGACCATACGACAAATGGATACACCGATTTCAAACGATCATGCTCGATTTGATTTTACGATACTTGCTGTTGCTGCATCTTCACCAATTCCTTCAATTCATCAAGATCTTTCAGGTGAGAAGGAAATGTACCTGCCTCCGTCGAATTCGCCAACTGAAGAACCTTTTTCTTTGGTAAAGGAAAAAAACGATTGAATATATTTTGTGTCGATTCCCTTTTTGGATGCTCATTAGATGACATAGAATAGAGATTTCATCTGAATTTGTGCTCAGTTAAAATGAAACTATGCCAATTTTCATTTCATTGGGGAAGAATTATGAACTCCCTGGTTCTTACATTGAATGCATTCCAAAAAAACTATGCAATTTAGTCTCCTTTTTTGAGTTTACAATTACATAGAGGAAATGGGAGGGGTGAGGTTAAGACCTTTAGCTTGTGACATTGCTAACATTGACCATTGTTCAATTTCAATATGTTCTGTGGACTTTTTCTCATGCAAATATAGCTAAGAAAAATTAGATTTAAAAACTACATAATTGGAATTCGGAAGCTCAACTTCCATCTTGAGGGACCAACTCACTAACCTCTCCCTTTCGACAGTTGCCAACCCATATGTACATAGTTGATCCCTTGCGCGAGTAACGTAAAACTCTACAACAATCCCTCCTTGGTGACTGCAAAAACAAGTTTATAATTTAGTCACTATAATGATTTATATTAAATGTTGATAAAGTAGTAGGTTGGTTGGTTGATGTCTCATTATATGTTGTATTATTCAGTATATTGAATGCCTGTATGATATCCAATACGACACCAATACATGTGCTTATATTCAGTTATTCTATTTTCTTCAATTGTTATCAATGTATTAGTTAGTTTGTGTTAGTGCTTTAATGTGTGGTGATTTGAGTTTCAAAGCATCCTTACCCTTTGCCAACGAAGTGGGTCTGGTCTTTTTGAAACTATAACGGAATCAATTTCCTCTGGTGAGTCCATTTTCCATCGGCATAATGGAGGTTTAGATTTGTAACGATAGTAAGTACCAATAATTTGCTTCTTAACTGGATCATATCGAGTTCTGTTCATATAGAAAATGAACGCTTTCTGACAAGGGTGTTTAGTTACTGGCCTTGTGTTGAATGCATATGCAGTGTAGTCAGCTCTTCGATACCAATTGAGAAAGGTTCTTGTTGGCATCTCTAACTCTCTAGGGGACAGTACTCCCCTTAAAATTTGAACCACATAACCCCATGAAACAGAGATGGACCAATATCTTTTTTGTTCATAGCAAATTGATTGTTGCATTATGCTACCTGAATCTTGCTTCACAGATTTCATTAAATGCAGTAGAGATTGTTCTCTGTCCATCTTTGGAAATATCGGTTGCACTACATCGAGGTGGTGCAATGACACTAGTGGTGCCACTGGATGTGCTCCTAGAAGGCCTAATAGATCCCCATACACATCATACTGCACAAACAAGAAAGATATACATAGGAAAATTTCAATCCTTTCCATAAATAGAGAATCAGGGTCACAAATCATCCCTAGTTATTGACATTAGTAGAAATTTTTTTTCTTCCATTTTTTTTTTATAGAAATAAACTCATTATCATGAGTTTTGGTGTATGAAATGAAAGTCTAATTATGCCTACATTTCTCAAAGAGCAATGTTATCAAAACACGAATATGGTGGCATAAATAGAAGTTGGGTAAACGATAATGCAGTTGAAAAATATAACATGGATTTATGCAATGAAAAATCACAATTTGTTTTCTAAAACTGTGTACTTTATACATCCTAAACTATACTATATTAATAGTTTTCTCAATTTATTTATGTGAAATATGATCCCTACTTAAAGGACTTGTTATTTAGGAGTGTTAATAGAGAGTAATTGACTTATTTGGAGTGTTAATTAATTACCTGATGAAACCCTGTTTCCTTGGTTAATGGAACACCTAGCTCAGCCATGCAAGCTTGCATTCTATCGTCACTACCATACAAAGCAGGGTAATGTTGAATACAACTATCCTGCATCCTTGCAAGCTCCTTAGCCAAAGGGTAGCTTATAGCAAATCCTCCACCACCATAAGCCATACCATAAGAGAAATGTATGTTCTGAACATGACTCTCCGAGGAGCTTCCGACATAATAAAATTGATTATGATCATACTTAGAAAGAACTCTGACCACATTATCAACTATAAAAACAGTGTCATCATCTCCCATCATGAACCATCTCACATCTTCCAACCCAAGTTTCAATGTCTCTGCCACCACCCTTGATATCCTTAAAGCAGATCTCTGCCCCTGGCTATTTGTATACTTAAATTTTGTTGTGTCTCCAGAAATTCGAATCTCTGGTAATTCATCATCAGCTTGTATGTTCACGCTTTTATCCAGCCACACTACCCCTCTTGTTTCCTTAGGCTTCCACCAAACCTTGATGTATTTTTTTCTTATCTCCCACAAATTTGTTGAAGCTGCTATCCCGAAAACAATGTGTTTAATCTCCGTATCTTGTCTTTGAGATAACTCATCAACGGACAACTCTTCCTCCTCTTGTTCTTGTTCCTCCTTTCTTTTTTTGACCAATTTTCTCTCGAGGGAAACTCCACTTTCACTGATTGATGTACTTGTTGATATATTACCAGTACCAATCCTCTCAAGTTGTTCATCAGTGGCTGCATTCAAACTAACGGCAGTGGAACAATGTCGTTTTTCTTTGGTTAATAAAAGAAGATTGGAAGAGTAAAGGATGTAGAGTATTATAATGATTAGGATTAACCAAGTGATAATGCGTTGCCTGAATGAAGAGATCATTTGGTTTGTTCTAGTTAAAGTGAGGTAATTTGTTTTGCCCCCTCAGATTCTTCAATTCTCTTTCAGATTGTCGCGTTACTATTTTTGCTTCCAAGTGTTGGAATGGAAAAAGACGGTGGTGGGAAGGACGTTCAATCTCAGAATTGTTCGGATCACACTAAACATTTTATTTTTGTTCTTCTATGTGTGAAGTTTGTTATTTTGTTTTAAAAAATGACTGAAATTTGTTATGGGACAACTGACAAGCCGAAGTTGAATGCGGTTAAAATGGAAGCAACGTTGAAAATTTGCATATACACATTCCGTTTTGCATGCAATTTTGAACTTGTTTAGAAATAAAATTAAAGGTATTTAATAATTATTGTTTATTTTTAAGTTAAACATTGTTCAGTAAAGGATTTATTATATTACACAATATCATATAAATGAAATGATGTACCAAATTTAAAAAAATAAAAATAAAGAACAAGTGTATATGAATAAATTCATAAACTATAATATAAAAAAGATTTCTTAAAAGATTTTATAATATATAAAACCCTTAAAAAGAATTTAATAATTTCATAAATATTGTTTAACAAATTTATCAAATAATTATTGAGTAGAGACATATATCATCACACACTCAACTATGTGTTTTTTTAATGCACCTTTAATGTTTTTTCCCCACTTTGCGAAAATACTTAAATGATCATAGATTTTGAAGATATATCACATAACGCACCAAATTATCAGTTGACATTAAAATATTTTAGAGATGCATCTTTGAACATATTTCAGAGATGCATCCATGGAATGTTTTGGAACTTAAATCGCGTCAAAACTCTTCCTTCTCATTTATCATATTTCTCAAAACCTCTTTAAACTCTATCAATTTTTTTCATCACTAAGTCCAAAATCAAACAACCAAGGTCAAAGGAACTTCAATCAACATCAAAAACATCATCCAACACTGAAGTAAAGTGAAAATTGTAAGTTTTTTTTTTTATGTTATGATAGTTTTTAGTTTTGTCTAAATGCGTAGAAATTGATGATTAATATAGGAAATGACTAGAAATTGGATGATTGATAGTTTAAACATAGTGTAAAGCATGATAGTTGGCTGAAAAATGATAATTAATGCAATATTTTTTGTGTGTTTCTATATCTGCATTGTCGCCAGTCGCACAACTGCCGAGTTGCAGAAAATTTTCGGAGATGCATCTCCAGAATTTTTCAACGTTTTAGTTTTCCAGCAACAGGAGATGCATCTCTGAAATTTTCTCAATTTTTTTTTTAATTTCCTTCCTTTTGGTGTTGTTTGCTTGCACTAATTGTCTGTTTTACTTTAACTTACATGCATAACGGATGATAGACACGATAGGCTGAGGCATGTGAGGGTTGCACAACACGCATCAATGCGGAAGGAGAAGAGTCAGCAGGTTTCAGAGGCTCTTGGTCCCTCTGTCCACGAAGAGCCATCTACTTTTAGGGCTCGTGCTTCTCCTCATACTTCTCCATCTTCTTTTTTTCCATAGAAGACGAAGTTCACCTACTGACGCATCACTCTATCCATCCTCATGCAGGCGTCAGGTTTCCCTTATTCAAGCACCTGAGGTACCTAAGCCACCACTACCACCTCCTACTACTAATACTGTAGATGCTTCTAAGGTAGTGCCACCTCCTACTGCTAATGTTATTAATCTAGTGCTACCTCCGAAGGATGAGACTACTGCGGATGCTGAGGCAAAGGTATTTGGAGGAGTCCCTATAGATTTGTTACTACTGCCTCTGTACCTAGACTATATTACTAGATATATATGGAATGGAGAGGTAACATTAGTTGGATTCATTCTTTTTTATTTATGTTAATTTTAATTGAAAATTTTCTGACATTGAATTTTATTTTTTGAGGAAGGAGATCCGCAGAAGTTTATTTACCACTGACGAAAGATTACTAGCTTACCTTAACCGAATGAGGATTGATTTCAGGAAGTTTTTTCCTTATTTGGCCTGAAGGACTTGTGCATGACCGGTTATACTACGATCAACCACATGATGCTTAATGCATTCGTGGAGAGATGACACTCAGAGACCTCGTCATTTCATCTCCCGCTTGATGAGATGTCTATCACATTCGACAATGTCTCGTATTTGCTACATCTTTCGATCAGGGAGAGAATTATATATCATTGGAGGATTACCAAAGATGAGACACTCGAGATGATGGTATACTATATGGGGGCTGACCTAGCAGAGGGGAAGGAGGAATTGGATATAATTAAGGGTGGTCATGCTAGGTTTGAATACCTGAAAAAGATATATACAATTGAGATCTTAAGAGCATGACATGATGCAGGTGATTATGAGTAGGCGACGCTCCACATATCGCATGTTATGAGAGCATACCTACTATATTTGGTTGGCACTACAATATTTATGGATAATAGTGTCACATATATATATGTCATCTACCTACGGTACTTTGAGCGGATCCATGAGTACAATCGGGGGCCACTTGTTTGGTCTACATGTACATGAAGTTATCAAAGGGCTGTATGTGGAAGACGAAACAGGTCACGAACAACATTACACTACTGACAGTAATATTTATTGGTCTTTTAATGTTTCTTTATCATTTTCATTTCATCTTTGCAAAGCCATTATTGATGATTTATGTGTTCTAAAGTTTTCATTTCTGGCTTGCATGTCGATTGTGAAGGTGAGAAAATACTTAGAAGGGGGGGTTGAATAAGTATGAAGATAAAAACTTAGAAGTAAAAACTCAAGTATTTTTATCCTGGTTCGTTGAACTCAACTACTCCAGTCCACCCTTTCTAGAGTGATTTGCCTTTATCAAACAAGGACTTAATCCACTATTTAATCAACTGATTACAACAGTAAGCACTAAGAACAATTGTTCAAAGTCTTCTCAAGAACTACTGATCCTAACTGGATCTTCTTAAGGTTTTCTTACAATCAAATGTAATAATAAATACAAGTGTTAAAATGCTTCTAATAAAGCTTTATCACAACTGTGATTTTTCACTTAAGATTAAGAACAATGAAATAATTCTAGCAAGAATATATGAGTTGTATGAGAGCTTTTTTTAATCAATTCTTTTCAAGTGTATTCGTCCACTGAAGAAGATGAGTGAAGACTTGCTTTTATAGGCACAATGATCCAAGAGCTTTTCACGTTGAGAAGAGTGTACCAAAATATCTGAGCCTTTTTGTCTTCACATCAAGCGACCTTTCCTAGAAGAAGAATGCACAGAGAAATCCTTTTTGTCTGTGTTCTTGTGTCTAGCATAAATAAGGAAAGAGTCGTTTGGATTATTCCAACGGACATAATCTTTGAATTCTTCTTCAATAATTTTCAGCAAGAATCATCAGAGTCTAAGTTAGTCAGAGCCTTCTGATGTTCATCAGAGTTTTGCTGAATCAGAGTCTTTGCAGCAAGTGTGCTTTCAGCGTGTATAAGTTCAGAGCAGAGTTTTGGGTCAGATCCTCAGTACTGGCAGCGTTAGTACTATCAGAGTCTTCTGAAGTAACTGTGCTTTAAAACTCTTCATACATAATTCTTCATTGCTTCAGATGCTTCTGGCTTGCTTCAGATTCTTCTGTAGCTTCTGCTTCAGATCCTTCTGGAGGCAGCGCTCAGAATCTTCTGATGGCAGCGTTCAGAATCTTCTAAGAGATGCTTCTGACGCTTCAGAGTCTTGCATATTTCTTATGTTCATATCTAATTTGCTTATGGAGTGATATTTACTTTAACATCTGCAGCAAACATTCTCAAGCAAATTTTAGAGTATATAATTCTTAAATACAAAATTTCATAGTAGTTATCATCAAAACATAGAGATATTATTAAGAACCAATCTGTGTTCTAACAATCTCCCCCTTTTTGATGATGACAAAAACATCAGAAATTTTGTTCAATAGTAAAGAAAATAATTATAACTCCCCCTGAGATGATGAATCTCCCCCTGAATTGAATATTAATAAGGAATAGAAACTTCCCTTTTTGTCTTGAGTATTCTTTTTAGAATTAGAGCTTGATTGTTCTAAACATTTGATCTTGCATGTTTCAGAGTCAGAGTCTGATAAGTTAAATATGATCTGAGAGTCTCAAAGTTTCTTTTAAAGAATATATCATATTTATCAAATGTTCTGAAACACTCAGAGTTTATGTTAGTTAGAATTGATATGTCTGAAGTCTCATTTAGGTAGAGTTTATTTAAACAGTCAGATCTATTTTCTCCCCTTTTTTTGTCATAATCAAAAAGTAAGAATTTTTAAAAGACAAATAAAAGGAAAAACAGACAAGATAAATCATGTAGAGAAAACATTGAGTCATTCATTCACTCAGAGCAAATAATGCAAACATCAGAAAAGATTCAAGTACATGTGCAAACATCAGATAAAAAATAAACTAAGTTTGTTTTGATAAAATCATCTTCAACAGATCAGTGATCTCAGAGGATGACTGTTCTTGCTTTGACATCCACTTAGCCATGGTTTCATTCTTCTGATCTTGTTTGGACATCCACTGAGCCATGTCTTCAGACTTCTTATCTTGCTTAGCCATCCATGACTTAATTTCTGATTGACCAGCTTCCAGAACTGCAATCTTATCTTCAAGATCTAGATACTCTTTCTTGATCTCAGATGAAGAAGGTGGGACAGATTCTGAAGCAGGAACATAGTCAATTTCCATAGGGGATTCAGAGTCAGGAGCAGCAGATCCAGAGGGATGTTCTACAAGAGTCATAGCCAGAGGGTTGTCTTCAGATGCAGATTCAGTGTTCACTTCTGTATCACAGACTTCAGATGATGAAGGAGCATCTTTAAGAAGCAATGGTGCAGATCTTTTAACAGTCCAGAACAAACTTCTAGCAGTTTTAGCAAATCTGAGCTTCGCATCATCAGAACATACGTTCTTCAGATTTGATGCTACAGTATTGAATCTGTTGATGAAGCTATTCCAAATAGCATCAGATTCATTGGCATCCATTGTT